TCAGATCTCTTCCTCTTAAGCATTGTCCTACACTCCAGTGTTGGTCTTGGTAAGGTTAACCCAGGATAGGGCTAACCTTCCCCCAGTATATCAGGGTTCTCCAAAGACAAAACCAATATGATTTGTATATAAATAGATCAGAGGGTATTTATTATATAATTGGCTCATGTGAAGAAGTCCCATGATAAACTGTCTACAGGTTGGAGACCCCAGGATCTGGTAACCATGGCTCAGTATAAGTCCAAAGGCTTCAGAATCAGGGAACCCCAGAGTGTAACTCTTGGTTCAGGGCTGAAAGCCTGAGAAACTAGGAAGGGGTCCATTGGTGTTATGTTCAACGACCAGAGAACGTGGACTTAGAAAGTACAAAGCAGGAGATAAGCATGCCCCCACTCTCAGGGGAAGAATCCAATTAGCCTTTTGTGTGCACTCCAGGGTCCTGACTGATTGAATGTTACCCACCCACACTGAGAGCAGAACTTTCCCATTGAGTCCACCCAAAGTCACATGCTAACTTCCTCTGGAAACACCCTCACAGACACACTCGAAAGTCATGCTTTTCCAGGTTTTTAGCTGTTCCTTAATCTAATCAGGTCAACACAAAAGGGAATTATCCACTCAAGTTGGAGGCAGCCTTGTGCTTCCTGCAACACCCAAAACAATCTTCAGTGTCCTCCTTGCAATCCTTTTGCTAAATCCTGCTGCATTATTATGGCACACCATTCTGGAAGTAAATAACAACAAAAAAAAAAAGGATGATGGTGATTTCCCTGTATTCTTTACCATGGCTCATCCGCCTGCTCACCCCAGGCTTGACATCTGCAGACAAATAGGAGGGAGTAGAAATTCCAGGCCCCAGTGTGATGTTTGTTTAGGATTAACACCATTCCTGTTCACACTGCCAGCTCTATCACTGAATTCAACAGTCCAACAAAATTACCTTGTCCTTGACCCTGGCTCATCCCAGTAGTGAAAGAAAAGAGAAAGCAAAGAGTGTTAACGAGGACCAACACCATGTCATTTCACTCTTGGGACTTTGTTACAAAAAAAGAGAAGGAAAAGATATATATGTGTGCCAAATTGACATATGAATGTACCCACACATTGACATATGTGAAGATGTTGAATTCAGGTATCCAAAATTTAAAATTGGAAAAGGTGCATATATTTAGCAATAGTAAAAAATTATGTAATCAATCATATATGTAGAAAAAACAATGGCAGAATATACAGGATCATTAAATTATTTTTAAATAAGCAAAAGAAATGACCAAAAATTGTTACCAGGTACAAGTGGCCCATGCCTGTCATCTTAGTTACTTGGGAGGATGAAGCAGATCATGAAATTTGAAGCCAGCCTAGGGTAATTTAATGAGACCTTGTCTCAAAATAAAATTTTAAAAGGGGCTGGGGGTGTA